ATAATTGAGACTGTTTAGGTTTTTGGGGGATAAAAAAAAAAGGAGTGCATTTTTATCATTGTAGGGTGGTTGTGTCCACACACCGCTAAGACACATTTATATGCAAATGAAGATATTTTGTATCCAATGACTCCTTTAAAATTAAAATATTATAATCTTAATTCAAGTGATGAAGGATTTAGAAAGTCTGACAGTTATCAGCGTTGAGCACATATTGTAAGTTTAACCCTGCCTGGCTTACATGTTTGAAAATTATTAACAGTTGAAAACATTAGAAATTTAGAAAAGTAATCAAAAAGTAATCAAATGTAATCAGTTACATTACTTTAATAAAGTAATTGAAAAGTTATACTACTTATTACATTTTAAGTAGGGTAACTTGTAATCTGTAACCTATTACATTTCCAAAGTAACCTTCCAAACACTGCTAGTAACTAACTACTTGAGTAGTTTTTTTTATCCGATTCTGTTTTACACTTATACTCAAGTAACTATTCAGACTAGTACTTTTAGTTTTACTTGAGTAAATATTTCACAGTTTTTGGGTACTCTACCCACCTCTGCCTATCACTTTTGCCGCTCAGAAATGTTCACGCAATCATGCTGCACGAATCAGAAGTTCCGCGCTCCGCTCACTACATGCGTACCGCGCCCGAGCCCAACTGAACCGCTGGCCTACCTCTTCCAACCGAGCCAGGGCCGGCTAAACGATCCGTGCCCGAGCACAGCACGGAGCGATCAAACTAGTCAAATGAACCGGGCAGGGGCATAGATTATGCGGGGGACGTGTACCCCCCACTTTTGATATTACGTGAATTCGTCCCCCGCACTTTTTCGGGCAAGTGTGTTTGCATAGAGGTTTTCAAGATCCGGTGTGAATAAATATAGATTTAAATTCAAAGAGACAGGATAGACTGTGCATGATCTGATGTTTTATTCGGACCCAGAATAAAGCGAGATGAACATCGCGGAGCGCTAAACACTCCGTGCAGTGTGCGTTTCATTCACACTCGAAGCCGGAGGGAGCTCTCGCGCAGAAAGTCGTACCAGGAAATCCCTAATACGGACAAAAGCGGTCAGCTATCGCTGTATGAAAACAGTTGTTTTCACAGAAAAACAGAAACGTTTGGAAACATGAAGACATTAAACATACGATTGCGACAATATATGGTTTATTTGTGTTTGTCAAGTCATCTCCAGGTAATAAATAAATTATATGAACAATGAAGTGCTAACTGACATAGCATTTATTACAGTATTGAAACTATTCTGCCTTATTATGTGATAAAAAAGTGTTTGTAGTATATAAGCAAATCAT